AAAGCTTTTAACATGTTTTCTTTTTTTTTTATATATATAAATATAAAAAAATTAAAAAATTATTAAAAATTATTATTATTATAACAATAATAATAATAATATTTTTTGGCTATATAATTATATGGATCCAAATCACAATTCAAAATTTAAACATTATACTTTTTCTTTATTATTACTATCTATAAAGCATATATATATGGTTAATAATTTAACTAATAGCTAACAATTGTTTACTTTTTTTTTACTTTTTTCTATTTGAGTTTTCAAAGATTTGCATATATCAACTTTTATTTTTTGATAGGATAGGGTTGATTTATTTTGTAGAGATTCTTAATGTATTTAATACTTATTAAAAAAATAAAAAAATAAATAATAATAATAATAATAATAACAAATCATCATATATTAATATTATAAATTAATTTAAGAAAAATTATTAATATAAATATGAATATATAATAATTGTAGAAGAATATTTAATAAATATTATATATATAGAAATTGTATTTGCTTAATTTTAAAGTTCTTATATTTGATAGTTAATAATAATTAAAACTTTTTAAAATATTGAATTTAAAAATTATATTTTAATTGATTTTTAATTTCTAGATTTAATGATTTGTATTTATTAAAAAATACTTTCAAAATATTTATTAGAAAATATATATTAATCTTAAATTTCTATGTTGCTTATAACTGCATAAACTGAAAATATAATATAAAAAATTAATTGTATAATATTGATATTTTTTTTACTTTTTTTTTACTTTTTTTTGTTCTTTTAAAAATATATAATCTGACATACCATTATCTTTATTTATATATGGTTTTAATGTTTACATATGGCATAGATAGTTTAAAATAGATAAACTTACAGTAAACTCACTTAGTAAGAGAGATGTAATTTTTTTTTCTTATATTGTAATTTTTATTTATATTTAATAAAAAAGAAGAGATAGTTTTAAAGTTGATATAATAATATTGATTAATTTAAATTTAATTATATAAATATAAATTAAAACAATGTAGTTCAAGCTATGATCGATATAACTATTATATGTATATTGATTTTCTATTATTCTTTTACATGTCAAAATAAAAACAAAAGATATTTGTGTTTAACGATTTTATAATAAACAATACTGTATAATGTTCATAATAAATAAATTTAATTAGTTAATAGTTTATAAATAAAACAAATGGTTTAAAGAAATATGTTTGAAAATGCTATGGACTGGATTGTTTGAATTTGGGAAAAAAATCAAGAATTTGAGTATTAATAATTGATCAGAGAATTTTATAACAAAATATAGAAAGTTCTTGATCATAAAGAATAATATATATATATAGAGATTATATAGATTATAAAAAACTTGGATAACATCATTTTATATAATTACTATTGATTAAATCTGTACAACTATGCATAACCTATCGAAGCCAAATTTGTTGACACAACTAATTGCGTTCAATAGAAAAATTTGAAGCGCTGGGTTCAACTATTTATTTGAGTTTAGGTTCCAGGATATTACATTTTCAACGATATCAATGCAATACTGTCCACTTAATGATAATTGAAGAGTTTCCAAAATAATAATTTTTCTTTTGTGGTCACAATAGAACAATAAATCAATTAACCATTAAAGAATCCGATCAAAATCTATCTTGAGCATCATATTTGAGCATCAATCTTCTTGAGATGCTCCATGGAACACGCAAATTCGAGTGTCTTTGTACTACGATACTTTTTTGGCAGTTGACAGCCAGAGAATGAACACATGGGAATAGGTGGTGGGTACCTACAGGTAATTACGGAAAGAAGTGTTATCAAAGAGTCATGTCGAACACATATTATGTTTCTTATAAAATGAACTTACGTTGGCCCTTTTGAAAATTCTATTGGTATCTTAACACCACGGGGCACTGACAACGAACAGCCTTTTTGGTTAGTCACGTAATGAAAGACACTTGGTGTATTAGAGCCTGATCCATTATCATTATGAACACTATCATTGTCATCTTGATCCTTTGTTCGTTTTTTGGATGTTTGCTTCCTTAAGAGACGATTTATAATGTTCATCTACCATTATTAATTGTAAAAATGAAAGATAAAATTAGATTAGGTAGGTGACACGTCAAAATTGCTACAAAATATAAAATGATAAAGTTTAGTCAAACATACTTTATCCTCCTCAGCACGTTGAATACTTTGATGTTTCCTACGACGTGCAATTTCCGATTTTTTGAGTTGAATCTCCTCCTCCGTCAGTTGTTTCTTTCTCATCGGCTCTAGTAAAATAAAACAAGGATTCAGTATATGCTACTTGATTGAAATACGTAAGTAATGATAAAACATACCCATCGGAAGTTGAAGCAAATCTTGCTCATAACTATCGTCAAGCTTAGCTCTCTGTCGCTTGGTGAGCACACGATTCTCCGAAACAGATAATGATTCCGCCGTTCTTGAAGAAAAAAGTCATAAGTTCGGAACTATAGATATAAAATAAACTACACTACATAACAAAAATCAATAAAAACCTAGCTGTTGGTTAAAGAAGAATTAAATTGTGGCACTGCTTAACTAAAAATTTAACGTAATTTAAGCGGAAGTCAAATACACATACTTCTCTTTCTTGAACCACTTTCGACTTGAGGTTCTTCGTTTTGCATCTGTTTTGATTGTTTCTGCTCTGGCGGGGTTTTTGGTGTGGCTTTACCTCTTGTTCTTGTTTGTACATTCTCTTCGTAATCACTTTGTTCCTCCTCCTCCTCTTCGCTTTCCTCGTTAAAATCTTCCTCGTCGTCGTCGACAGGAGTCGCGTCTTCGTCATCCAATTCCTCATCTACTTCATCTTCAGCTTGTTCGCTTTCTTCTTCCATTTCAATTTCTTCCTCCTCCTTTAATAAGTCTTCTAATTCCTCGTCTTCACTCTGGCAGGTATCCTCCGATTTATTTGTCTCTTCTTCCATTAGAGGTGTTAGATTCCGAATCGCTTACGTCAGAAATGGGGTAGACCTGTTGTTAGAACTTGATGAGGTCATCTTCATATATTGTTTTCAAAGAACAAAATGTTTCAAGGTTCCTCATAATATTTATCAGATTCTTATAATTATTAGAATCCCGAATAAGAAGTAACACAGGTATTTGATTCTACATATTTTGTAATCGAACTTTCCAGAACTTTGTAACACCACGTTTAATAAAAATAATGCACGAATCCGCATTTTCATATCTTTCTTACACTATTAATAAGGGTGGGTACGTGACATGATGACGCGTCGCGTAACAATGGCAGCAATTTAGAATAATGATGTAATAATTGAGATACTCGGAACTGAGCAAAACTTGTAGAATAAGTAAGAAATTGGGAAAGATGCAAGGTCTTTCAATGCGGGAATTGCGGACAATGATCATAACGGGGCGAGGAATATCCTTCTCAAACTGCCGAGTCAAGGCAACCCGGCGCTTGGCCTACCATCCTCGTTGCATAAAGATGCGTTTGCTAAATTTGTTATCAATGCATTTTTTTCTTGTAGGAGTGTAGGAAACATAGATCAATATGACGAAAAACGATCGAATTATTAACAATAATAAAACAGAAATAATAATATTATTTGGGGTTTAATGTCTGTTTCAAGTAAATATTTTTCCTATAATAGGGAGTTCGCGCAAGATTGTTTTTACATCTAATTTTTTTATTAGTGGTCTATATTAGCAATTTGCGTTACATTGATGAACAATAATGAAATATAGGGTGCATTTAAAAAAATGCATTACTAAAGCAGATCAAATTGAACGAGTTACGCGCATATATTATATTATCCCTTATTAATATTGAAACATAAGATTAAATCTTGGATGAAGTATATTTTATTAAGTAATTTTTTATTTTACAACGAATAAAATTTATAAAATAACAGAATTTATTTAGACAATCGATTAACTGACTGATATGCAGGCATTCGACCTTTTAAGAAAAGATGTGCCACTCGACAATTGCAATGGTCTGCATGATGAAACTGTCGTCACCCTAATGGGCTGGTGCTTGCTGAGGAGGTACACATTTGTAAACATAATCATTGTAGTCATTGCATTGAAAAAATCATGGTCGAGAGCTACAGTATATCTTTTTCTTGGGTAAAAAAAGTTTTGATTTATTGAAATCATAATAATCCTATTGTATGGTTTCAACCTCACGTGGCAAATAAATATGGCGTAATGTCGGGAATGAGATCGTCCCAATTCCTAAAGGGACAAAGAAAGCAAGTCAAAAATAAATTCTTTCATGGTGGCTATAATAAACGATAACGCGCTTAGAAATTTTGTGGAACGGATAATCGTGATTTGTCCTACATGCGTATGATACATCTTAAAACCATTACTCGTTTCTCTCTCACATATTCAAGAAGTATCATACATATCTTTTAATCATTTTTTTAGAGGATCCTTTAGATAAGGATGGGTGTGTCCAACGGGAAATATGACGTTGATTTCAATGAAGAAGGTTTGCAGTTTATACTCGTTTGTAGTTTACTATCCCAAACAGGATTGCACACTAAACTTTCCTTTTGCGAAATGTAAAGTTAACCTCAATCAGTTCAAATTATTACGCGTTGTTGGTCGAGGGGCATTTGGAAAGGTTTTGGATAACTGTTTATTTAGATTGTTTACCCTTCTGATTTCAATTTTTTACTGATATCTCTTTTATCTATTAATTTATTATAGGTTCGAATTGTCGAACGAAAGGACACAAAAAAACTTTTCGCCCTAAAGTACATCGCAAAAGAGGAATGTATCAGAATGGATGCTCTTATTAATGTATTCCGGGAAAGATCTATGCTAGAAGAATTAGATCACCCATTGGTATGCAATCTTCGTTTTGCATTCCAAGATGATGATTATATGTACATGGTTATGGACCTAATGTACGTTCATAATTCAGTTGATCATCTTTCTATGCGTCTTGTTTCTTACATTCATGACAACTTCTTTATTAGGATGGGTGGTGATCTAAGATTCCATATAAATCGCAAAACTTTCACAGAAGATGCAATCCGTTTCTGGATAGCCGAGTTGGCATGTGCAATAAGATACTTGCATTCTAAAGGAGTGGTTCACAGGTATCTTGAAACTTGATTTGACGAGGCATTTCCTATTTTATATATATTGCGTACAACTAAAACGTAATCTTTTGTCGCAGAGACATTAAACCAGACAATGTTCTCCTCGATGAACTAGGTCATGTTCACATAACGGATTTTAATATCGCAAGACACATAAGGATGGACAAACCATTAACGTCTCATTCCGGAACGTGCGCATATATGGGTTAGTTTTTAATTTGAGGATTTGTGAGAAAACAGAATTTTTGTATGAAAAGCGGCATTATTAAAAATTACGCTTCGCACAACAGCTCCTGAAGTGTTTAGAGGAGGTGGATACGGTGTCACTGTAGATTGGTGGTCTCTGGGTGTTCTATTCTACGAATGTATATATGGAAGGGTATATAAATTCAACATTATGTCGTCCAAACTCCGGCGATATTGTCCATATCTCTAATTATAGTGACTTATTCGTAATTCCAGCGTCCCTTCGAGAGTGACAATCAAGAAGAATTGAAAAAATTGATACTCAGAGCTCCAATTAAATATCTCGACATGGACCCACCTGTTAGTCCTGCTTGTGTTTCGGCAATTCAAGATGTAAGATTGTGAGTTTAGAATATTAATTTTACAATGCATATCTTGTATTTATTTGTCATATATTTTTTCTTTCTCAGTTTCTCGAGCGTGACATTTCCAGGCGTCTAGGCTGCGGTCCAAATGGGTTTGAACTTATTCAAAAACATCCTTTTTTCCGTATGTTTGATTGGCGTGCTCTTGAAACCAAGGAATTAAACCCAATTTTTCGTCCTTCATCAGACAGAATCAATTTTGATGCTACATATGATTTAGAAGAATTGCTATTGGAGGAACAACCATTAGAGGCAAAACCGCGTCGATGGAAGTCCAAAAGGCGTAGGGATGGTGAAAGTTCTGAAAAAGAAGCTCAGTATCAAATGATTGAAGAGAAATTCAAACCATTTGATTATACAGTGTTTGAAAGATATGAGGGTTGGGTAGATCCAGTGACCAGGTGTGTTGCTGATCCGCCAGAATGGGTCAAACCTGCTGCTGTCGAAGTTGCAAACCAGTTGGAAAGAGAAAGCCAAGATGGAGCTAGTGATCTTGGCAGTTTAGCAGGGATATCTTTAAAAAATGGAGTTCAAGCTTAATTATAAAAATTTTAAAAAATTCTTTTACACGTATACGTGAATCTTATTTATTGTAATGTTTTGAACCGTTACATTTTGTCATTAGAATAATATTTTGCATTATTTTATAAAGTGTAGTGACGTTCTGCAATTGTATTAAAATACTTTGTGACATAATAGGTTAAAATTACTTTATAGTAAAATGAATCGTTCAGTTTTTCTAACTTAATTTCACATTCTTTAATAAAGAATAGTAAACTCAATTTGTATTATATACAGTATAAGTTAATCTTTAAAAAGTTGTAATTTAATCGAAACCATATTTTTACAAAAAAGTTAAAAAATTTTATTATTAATAACAAAATTTTAAAAAATTATTTTAATCTTGATTTGATTGATATTTGTTAAAAATAATTTATTTAACATAATGTTACTTATTGATTTTTTGTTAAAATTTTTTTTTAAGGAATTAAGACAGTTACTAGTTTCTTGTTTATTATAATAGATTACTAATATGTATAAATAATTTTATAATTACTAGGTTAATATATATTAAGAAGAGTTTAATACAGGACATTAAAAAAATTGTCTATCTATCTAAGCTCCTATTATTAATTACCCAAGCTATAAAAAATACTTATCAAAATCTATATAATCTTGAGTGGTACCTAATAAAAGATTAAAAATATATCTCTTTTAATCTATAAGCATTTCCAGATAAATTTGTTTGAAAAATTAATAAAAATATATTTATGATTTATTTTTTTAAATTTTAAAATATTCAAACTAAAAAAATTTTTTATTTATTTTTAACAAATTTTTTAAATATTAATTTTAAACAAATAGTTTTTAATATAATATTGTAATATATAAAGTGTGATTTAAAAATTTGTAAATAAAAATTTATTAATAATTTTAAAATAAATTCTTAAAATATTTTTTATAAAATAAATATATTCTATATTATTAATAAATTATTGCATTATTTATAAAATATTAATATGATTTAATTTTATAAGCAAATTTGCTTACAAAATAATTTACAAAATAAAAAATAGTTAAAAATTATATTATCAATTAAATTTTCTTTTATAATAATAAAAAACTTGTATAATTTTAACTATATTTTAAATTCTTCAAAATCTGAATTATATTAATTGCTATAAATCTTTTAATTTATTTAATCTAAACTTTACTTGATAAAATTTCAAAAAGATAATATCAAATTTTAATTTTATTTGATTTTAAATTAAAATAACTAATATTTTATAAAAGTTAAGATTAACTTTTAAGTAATAATATTAAATAAAATTATATTATTATTCAAATAATTATCTTTATATCCAAATTTTTATATAATTCTTAAAACAATAATAAATAAATATAAAAAAATTGATCTGTAAATCCATAATATAATAGTAATACTCTATAAATTATTAAAAGAAGATCCAAAATTCAAATTAAAAATTTTAACAATTATATTTGATTCAATTCAATTTTTGTTTTTTAAATTTATATTAAATTTAATATATAAGTTATAATTTATTATTGTTTCAAATTTCATATAAGTTTATATAATTTATTTGATTTTAATTTTTTAAACTATAATTAAACCTATTTAGTTATAAAAATTTATTACCTTTATAATTAATTAATCAATTTCCAATTTATATTATATTTAATTAGTTGAAAATCAATTTTTAAATTTAATTAAACAATATGAAAATAGGATCTCTAATCTTTTAAACTGAAAATAGATCAAAACAAAAAAGGTTATATAAAAAAAGACTTCTGATTTAACTTTTATAATAAGCATGCAAACTCTCTTAACATAATAAATTTTATAATACAATTTAAAAAAATATTAATTTTAAACTAATTTATTTTAATCTAAAACTTTAAGATTTATTTTAATCAATAATATTTTATAAAACTTAAATATATAACTAAGAAGTAAGATATTAGTTTTAAGTAATAAGAAGCTAGACAAAATTATTAAGTGAATTAAGTCTAATAAGGATCAATATAAAATTAAATTAAAATTTAAACAATAATATCAATTTTATAAGTAGTAAAAATGGTAGTATCATATTATACTAGTAATATATTTTGAGAATTAATGATAACAATAACTATAATATTGAAATTAATCTTTATAATATTATTTTATAATGTGTCTTGTTTATAACAAATATATTGAAATAGAACTTAAGTATTATAAAGTATTAAAAAAAGTTAATATAAAGTTTTTTTATAATTGTTCTTATTGTTTTAATAATTAAGATAATTTTAATAGCTTTTATATAAATTTATTATATATTTTTTCAAGTAATTAAATATTTATTTCAGTTTTTAATTACTTGTTCAACTATTGGTTTCTGTAGCTTTTTCATATAATTCAATTAGAAATATGATTTTTTTTTTTTATTTTCAAATTTTAGTATATTAATATTATAAATTTATTTTTTATTTATTAAATATTTATTAATTTTTGCAAATCATTCTTTTAATAAGTTAGAGTTTTTTTTATTCAAAATTTATCATTGATATCTGTTAATAATTGTTAATTATTTAAAGTTTTTATTTGTTAATTATTAATTACTATTATTAATTAATATATACTAGTCGAAATTAATTTATTCAGCATAATGCCACTCGTCAATCATTCATCAAAAAAATATATAATTCGGCTAATCAAATTTTTATAATTTTTATCTTTGGCTATAAAGCAGCATATAATTTATTTGGCACATAAATGGTATACTTTTTTTAAATCTTATTTTAAAGAAGTTAATATTTCGATAGTAAAATTGATAATTTATTTTTTGCGCCAAATATATATACTGTATATATTTTGACTTTGTCAAATTATATTACTTTGATAAATTATATTATCTTGCCAAATATATATTGCTAAATTATAATACTTTGCCAAATTATATTATCTTGCCATATACAGTATATATACATATTTGCTGAATTATATTACATTGCCGAATTATATATGTTTCAATGAAATTTTATATATTGTATTTGCGATTTAAAGGAATAATAG